CAGTGGCAGATGATGACTACAAAACGCTTGCGGCTGAGCTTGAACATTGGCTCTTGTGGTGCAGTTGTAATCTCTTTGGCTGCACATTTAATCGCAAATTGCACATTGTTGCGGCCAAATTGAATTGTTTTGCTGCGGTGTGGAGGTGGGCTTTTCAATCATCCGGATTGATTGCCACGGACCGGCATCGAGTGCACACAGCCGGTTGCGCCTCAATGCACCCACAGGGAGATATATAACCACAGCTGCACTCTATACACTCTATACCCGCACTCTCCACCCACAAAACATATTTGTCTCGGGTCTGACTTTTCAATTCATTTGATTTGTATCTTGGAAAAGTGGATATGGTAATGGCTTACCATAGCTCCCCTCCCTCACATGATGGTTATTTGGGTTAATTTGATTTTAATGCTTGGCCACAAGGAATGCGGGTGTGGTGGCAATCAGATCAGTGCCCAACAATTGCCAAGAAATCGCACATCTTGTGGCCATCAGATTTCAATTGAATTACATTACCCTCTGATTGATTCGTGAGTAAAGTCCAAGTTCAGTGAAACTCGATCAAAAGAACAATTGGTTCAAGGTTTGAGTGATTTTCGTGTGCCATTAAGTGCCATATATGAAAAGCGCGTAGAAAGGCGCTTCATCCCACACTATTCACCGTTGATCGGCATTGTTTTGAATGGACGACTCATTTGTCACTTAAAGTGCTCATGCCATAAATTAAAGAGGTTGAATGTGTGTTTATTTCTATTTAAACTTTTCAAGTATTTGTGAAATTTTAGCAACAACACACGAGCCTTCTTTAATAATTGCCCCCGTCTTCAAAACTACTTTAAGTGCCGACTTTTGTTGTTGTTTATCATTTATATAAATCGTTTTGTGTACAGCGTTTAAAGAAAAGCATCTCGACAGCAATTGCTGTTGAAGATTAGCATTTGTTGGGTTTGCAATCCATTGTAATCTCGCCGAGAAAAGATTGTAGTGGTGATGCATTGTCTACGACGATAGATGAGGTAGTTGAATGTTTTAATACGGCAATTAAAAATCGTCTACGGTGGCGGAGAGTTAGATAATATACCCTCCTACCTGAAGTGTTTTATTCCAGCATACTTCTCATCCCTTTTCTTCTCCCCCGTATGATATCATCTTTCCGGTGAAACAGAACTTGAAGCTGTCAGAATTTGGAAACTCAACATCTGCCGGAGTTGCAGGTCACCCCAGGCAGTTGGATTCAGTGCTGCCAATTTAGTTGTTTCCCGTCAAATCAGGCTTTTTTCAAAGTCGAAATGCGCGAAAAATTTGGGAATCGCGGGTAGCGGGAATTCTGGATTTTTTAAAAAGCAGTTGGCTTTTTTTCCGCTTTTTTTTTTAATGCTGCCCCAAATTTCATGAAAAGACAAAAAATACAATTTTTGATGAAGCTGTGGAAAAAAGTGTACTAACTCGGTAACACCTACCAGTTTTCTTACAAATGTACCAAATGTGTATAGAAGTGGCAACAAATTACGAGATACGCCACTTTGAAATCGGATAAAATTTGGTAAAGTTATGGGCTTCGGAAGTCCAGTTGTGGGCCACAAAAAAAATTTGAATGCAGATTTTTTGAGAATCAAATTACGAGTCTTAGGATATATGCCACTTCCAAATCGGATAAAATATGGTAAAGTTATGGGCTCCGGAAGTCCAGTTGTGGGCCACCTTTTAACAACACATCGGAAACTTGGTAATAAATGACATGAAAATGGGTAAAAAATATGACCAACGTTAAAATGAAAATTTTGAATGCAGATTTTTTGAGAACCAAATTACGAGTCTTAAGAGATATGCCACTTCCAAATCGGATAATATTTGGTAAAGTTATGGGCTCCGGAAGTCCAGATGTGGGCCACCTTTTAACAACACATCGGAAATTTGGAAATAAATGACATGAAAATGGGTCAAAAATATGACCAACGTTAAAATGAAAATTTTGAATGCAGATTTTTTGAGAATCAAATTACGAGTCTTAGGAGATATGCCACTTCCAAATCGGATAAAATTTGGTAAAGTTATGGGCTTCGGAAGTCCAGTTGTGGGCCACCTTTTAACAACACATCGGAAATTTGGAAATAAATGACATGAAAATGGGTCAAAAATATGACCAACGTTAAAATGAAAATTTTGAATGCAGATTTTTTGAGGATCAAATTACGAGTCTTAGGAGATATGCCACTTCCAAATCGGATAAAATTTGGTAAAGTTATGGGCTCGGAAGTCAGAGATGTGGGCCACCTTTTAACAACACATCGGAAATTTGGAAATAAATGACATGAAAATGGGTCAAAAATATGACCAACGTTAAAATGAAAATTTTGAATGCAGATTTTTTGAGAATCAAATTACGAGTCTTAGGAGATATGCCACTTCCAAATCGGATGAAATTTGGTAAAGTTATGGGCTTCGGAAGTCCAGTTGTGGGCCACCTTTTAACAACACATCGGAAATTTGGAAATAAATGACATGAAAATGGGTCAAAAATATGACCAACGTTAAAATGAAAATTTTGAATGCAGATTTTTTGAGGATCAAATTACGAGTCTTAGGAGATATGCCACTTCCAAATCGGATAAAATTTGGTAAAGTTATGGGCTCCGGCAGTCCAGTTTTGGGCCACCTTTTAACAACACATCGGAAACTTGGAAATAAATGACATGAAAATGTGTCAAAAATATGACCAACGTTAAAATGAAAATTTTGAATGCAGATTTTTTGAGAATCAAATTACGAGTCTTAGGAGATATGCCACTTCCAAATCGGATTAAATTTGGTTTAGTTATGGGCTCCGGAAGTCCAGTTGTGGGCCACCTTTTAACAACACATCGGAAACCTGGAAATAAATGACATGAAAATGGGTCAAAAATTGGACCAACGTTAAAATGAAAATTTTGAATGCAGATTTTTTGAGAATCAAATTACGAGTCTTATGAGATATGCCACTTCCAAATCGGATAAAATTTGGTAATGTTATGGGCTCCGGAAGTCCAGTTGTGGGCCACCTTTTAACAACACATCGGAAACTAGGTAATAAATGACATGAAAATGGGTCAAAAATATGACCAACGTTAAAATGAAAATTTTGAATGCAGATTTTTTGGGAATCAAATTACGAGTCTTAGGAGATATGCCACTTCCAAATCGGATAAAATTTGGTAATGTTATGGGCTCCGGAAGTCCAGTTTTGGGCCACCTTTTAACAACACATCGGAAACCTGGAAATAAATGACATGAAAATGGGTCAAAAATTGGACCAACGTTAAATGAAAATTTTGAATGCAGATTTTTTGAGAATCAAATTACGAGTCTTATGAGATATGCCACTTTGAAATCGGATAAAATTTGGTAAAGTTATGGGCTTCGGAAGTCCAGTTGTGGGCCACCTTTTAACAACACATCGGAAACTTGGAAATAAATGACATGAAAATGGGTCAAAAATTGGACCAACGTTAAAATGAATATTTTGAATGCAGATTTTTTGGAATCAAATTACGATTCTTAGGAGATATGCCACTTCCAAATCGGATTAAATTTGGTTTAGTTATGGGCTCCGGAAGTCCAGTTGTGGGTCACCTTTTAACAACACATCGGAAACTTGGATATAAATGACATGAAAATGGGTCAAAAATATGACCAACGTTAAAATGAAAATTTTGAATGCAGATTTTTTGGGAATCAAATTACGAGTCTTAGGAGATATGCCACTTCCAAATCGGATACAATTTGGTAATGTTATGGGCTCCGGAAGTCCAGTTGTGGGACACCTTTTAACAACACATCGGAAACTTGGTAATAAATGACATGAAAATGGGTCAAAAATATGACCAACGTTAAAATGAAAATTTTGAATGCAGATTTTTTGGGAATCAAATTACGAGTCTTAGGAGATATGCCACTTCCAAATCGGATAAAATTTGGTAAAGTTATGGGCTTCGGAAGTCCAGTTGTGGGACACCTTTTAACAACACATCGGAAACTTGGTAATAAATGACATGAAAATGGGTCAAAAATATAACCAACGTTAAAATTAAAATTTTGAATGCAGATGTTTTGAGGATCAAATTACGAGTCTTAGGAGATATGCCACTTCCAAATCGGATAAAATTTGGTAAAGTTATGGGCTCCGGAAGTCCAGTTGTGGGCCACCTTTTAACAACACAACTGAAACTTGGTAATAAATGGCATGAAAATGGCATGAAATCATCAAAAATATTTCCTCGACTTACTTACCAGCCCGGAAAGAGTTGGGATAGGTTCAGCCAAGCACACTATGTTAAGTGTAAAATTTCTATATAAGTTGGTTTTAAATGTTTGTAATTTTTTATATTCGATGTCAACTAAATTAGTTCTTAAATAATCTCCATGTAAACCATTTTCTAAAGCAAATATATGTAATTTGAGTTAAAAAAATAAAGAATTTCATATCATAGGATTTGACTTTAGTGAGTCGTAAGGAACAACTTAAGTTTTCTCGACTTAGTAACAAATACATAATCTAAACGATATAAACATTTAAAAAGTTTTTTTTTGGGTAATCCGAATACAGGGATAAACAATTCAAAATTTCTTTGCCAAAGCGATAAATTGGCATCACTGGTTGAGCACACATGCGGAGAGCTCTGCTAAAAGCTATGTCATCCGAAGCCCGAAAGAAGGATGGGATTTCTGTGTCCTGCATTCGCAATGAGTTGACTGAAAGCCCATTCAGGGTTGGCTTTCTCCCTGGACGGGCTGTTCCTGATGAGCGAAGGGTTTTGTGTGGCCAGAGGAAGGATGCAGAGCCTGCGGCAACTAAAAAGAACATCCCGTCATTAGGGGCAGGCGGTTTATGGGGGGCATGATGTCAGTTATGCGGCTGCCACTGCAATTTGCTTACCATTCTCTTCGTGTTTGCTCTTGCCCATTTAATTGCATAATTTATTGATAATTAAATGAAGCTCTAAATTAAACTCTTATTGCAGGGTTGGAGGCTGGAGTCGGTTGGAGTGACTCAACTCCCTCAACAATTGCCGCTGATGAGGTGAACGAACTGGTCAGCTTCACAGCATCCATTTTCAGCCCCTCATATCGGGCAATTAAGCCAACCCTAATTGGAGGGCGAAAGCAGTTGGCGAGGAGGAGGGAGCATCTTCGCTCAAGATGCCATCGCTGCGCCAGAAGGTCACCACTTACTTCCGCCAGTTGAGCTTCATCGCGGAGCCTCGCGAGGGTCGCCGGCGGGCCAGCGAGCACGAGGATGACGATGGCAGCTTCATCACCAAATATCTGGAGGGGTGAGTAAATATAAACCTGAAATTGGGAGGTAGTTTCAAAAGTGTTTACCCTTCATTCCTCATCGGCAGGCGCATGCAGCGACAGTTTGTGGAGGGCCCGGAGATCTATAATGGCCAGAATCCCACAGACATGCCCGTCCTCAAGCTGGACTCTTATGAAGCTGGAACCTGCTCCATAACAGCGGCCTGCACAGGACCAGATGAAGGACTCACCGGCATCAAGCGCTCCAAGCTTCATCTAAGCACTAGCTTTGCGGACGACATTGACTTCATAGATACGCAGCAGGAGAACGATGATTGCTATGGTGTTAGGAAGAGTACACCGCCAGTTTCGGCAACCACACAGAACGCCACACGACTGGCCAGTAAATTCGGACGGCCACCGACTGGATCCCGGAGACAGAGTAATGCGGACCAACCATCCGGATCCACTACTGCTTCGGGGATGCGGTCCCGCAAGAATTCCAAGAGCAGCATAGGCAATCTGGCATCGGCTTCAAGTGGTACCGATGCTGGCAAAGCCACCAGTGATCAGAACAACAGAAACCTGTTGAATGCAAAGACTGAGACCACGGCGGACGGGGATTCCAACTCTGAACGGGAGCGTCTGCTCCGCGAGGCTGTGAGCAACCAGGGTGGCTCTGCTCCGGCTGCTGTGGTCGCCGGCGTGGAGAATTGGCGCATGGAGTGCGATTTCGCGTATGGAATCTCGGTGTCTCTGTACGAGACCAACATGCTGACCAAAGAACCCATGGGCAATCCCATCGCAGACTGCTACGGAATGGTGGTGCGCGGTGATTCAGCAGCCATGGCCATGGCAGATGGCGTCAACTGGGGTGATGGAGCTCGTCTGGCCGCCCGTTCGGCGGTCCACGGCTGTCTGGACTATCTGGATCGGGCGGTATTTGGTCAGGCGCTGGAGTGCCGAGCCACCACCACACAGGAGGTCTTCGTCAGCCTGCTGCGGAGCCTGTGGGAGGGCCACGGATGCATCCTAGAAGTTGGAGGAGCCCTGTCCACGCTGACCATTGCCGTGGTGCTACCGCTGGACGGGTCACCAGGAAAGTACGTCGTTTGCTCGTGCAATGTGGGCGATTCCCTGGGATATGTGTACTCCAAGAAGCACGGAGTACGGGAACTGACCCAGGCATCCCACGACATCAGTTCCATGCGGGACATGCGCGACGCCTTGGGCGCCCTTGGACCAGCAGATGGAAACAAGCCAGAGCTGAGCAATCTGACCTTCTCGATGAGTTGCATCGAAAGCGGCGACATAGTGTTTCTCACCTCGGATGGAATCAGTGATAACTTTGATCCCGTAGTGGGCAAAATTTGCCGAAGCCTGGACCCCAGATGTTAAGCTTCAGTCGACAGGTCAGAGTAAACCGGCGATTCTTGCTCCCAAGCGACAGAACAAGAGTGCATCCGCGATTTATGCCCGCCTACATCCCTCGACGCCGCCCACGCGACCCGCTCGTCAGTCCAAGGCGGGCAGTCCGCCCAGCAATGCGCCCAGTCGACCGAAATATATGCGTTCGCAAACGCTCATCGAGCCACGTCAGGGACTTGTATCGCCGCCGCCACCTTCAGTGGCCATTCAGCGCATTCCAAAGTCCATTTCGGGTCTGCCCTTGGTGACTGGTCCTCAGAGGCATGCCCTGACCCTGTACCGTTTGGAAGATCTGCTCAGCTACGGCATAAACGGCACCTTCTCGCCTTGCGTTTCGGCCCGACGGCTCTGCCACTTGCTCATCGATTTCGTTAGGATGATAACCTCCGCCAGGAGAAAGACCCTGGAACAGCGTGAGCTCTTCTATAAGCTGTCGACGGGACCAGATGGCGCCAAGCGGGAGGTTCAACTGAATCGCATGCAGCACAGGGCGGCCAGGAAGCGGGTGGTGGACAGCAGCGCTTTTGTAGCTCTACCCGGAAAACTTGATCATGCCACTGTGATGGCCTACACAGTGGGCGGTGGGGAGGATCACGATACTGGCAATAATATCGGCGATGGTGGAGCCATTTCCCCCGTACTGCAATCCAAGGAGTTTAAGGAGACGAATTTCTAAAAATGAGAAAACGCTAGACTGCAGACTTAGCTTTTTATACATTTTTCTCACACACATTATGGGTAATTCTGAATTATATGTTAAATCAATTATCTTCGGGGTCTGTAATAAATTCCAAGTGTATATTTCATATTCATGTAATGCAGGTTTTTATTTAGTTAGTAACGCAGAAACTGCCAATTATTGATTATTTTTGAAAAAATTCAATAGTTCCGGATGGACAAAAAAATGTGAAATACTTGAATCATATTGTTAGATCTTCGCCAAATACATTTTTTAGTTCGCCTATCAAAAAATGGATAGCTTTAACTACATTGATTGGTATTAGTTTGTTTAATTTAAAAGGAGTTATAATATATAATAATAATATATTAATATAAATTAATATATATATATATTATTATTTTGGGACCCTGAGGAAAATTGTTTATATAATACACTACCCATATGTACACATATATATATATTTACATAAACACTTACATATATACGTAGTGATATATCTCACATGTATCTTAAATATTCATAAAGCTTTTTTCTAAGTTTGTTGATTTTAATTCGGTATTCTCACTTGTCAGCCATAGTTTTTTAGCCATTTATTTGTAAATTGCAAACGACAGAAATGCCTCAAATGTTTTAAACTACCAAAAAGAATAAGAATACACAAATGTACATCGTATTTTTACACTCTCATCCACAACTCAATGTAAATGCCACTTTTACACCAGCTGCAACTTTGTGAGCTTGCACAATTTTAAATTATATATGGCAGCGTTTAAACATGGTAACGCACAGCTTAAGTGGCCCAAATGGACTGTGCCAAACGGGTCCGGGCAATTAATAATTGAATAAACGCATTGGAAAATTGCGCTTTTAAAACACCATAAAATAGTTGTTTTCTTTGAATTTGAATGAAACCGTCTACTACGCTTTTTATTATCTCTGTAAAAACATCACGAAATTACAGGTCAAAATTTAATTATAATATACTTGTAATTGCACAGAAATGTAATACAAAAATTGTCAGTTCCTCGTGAAAGTTGAAAAAGCAAAAACGCAAGCTGGAACCAGGCAATAAATCCGTAAAAGATTTATGCACATAAGAAAATATAATCTCAGCGGTTAGCTATTAGTTACTACAAGCTCATTTTTCAGCTGTTGCGCATGCGCAGGAGTAGTTTGGCAATAGCCTGAGCCTGTGAGGGTGAGGCATCCTTTACTTGTTTGTACAGAATCTCCACAATCCGCAGTGTTTGGGGCTGCAAGAAAGACAAACTTGTAATAAGAAGACCACGATAACATAAAAAATGAAACATACTAGAGTCTTTACATCCAGCTGTGTTTGAGCTTTGTTGGCTAGAAGCCATAGTTTCACTGCCAATTGAGCGATCGTTTCCTTCTCTAAGTCTGCATATCGCACAATCCGTAGAAATAGTTCCAAGGCCAGTTCCGCTTGAGGTCGTTGCTGCTGGGCCACACCCAAGGATTTGAGCTGCAGTAGGATCGCATCGACAACCTGAGCACATATATTGTTTACCTCTTGCAAAAACTTGGGATCGTGGCCATACAAATTGTCATTGGAAACCACTGTAAAAAAAAATAATTTGTAGAGTTATTTAAGCTAAAAAAATCGTATCTATTTGATCACTAACCTCCCTTAATATGATAAGGATATTTTTCTAGGCTCTGCACATAAAGCATGTCCAGGGAATGCAGATAGATGATAATCGGCGCCGTGCTGTTCGGCTTGAATTCATGCCTTCCAACCACCTCCAACAGCAGTCGAAGGAAATACAAGACTCCCTGTTCTGGACTATCCGGCACCACGATCAGCGTGGCCAACATATTGCACATGTACGACACCAGAAAGCTCTCTAAGCTACGGGGCTTTCCATCGAAGTCCACGGTGGCTGCAGGCAGCTCATTGACCAACTGCAAGGCAGCCTCAAAACAAGCATCGGCTATTGTGGAAAGTAAAATTAATTTAAAATGGTCATTTAAATCAGATTTAATACTAGCCTTGCCCCAGGCAGAGATTCTGCAGTGCAAGTTGACCGCAAAGCAAATACAAATTCATTTGCTGCTGAACAGCTCCAATGCTGGGAATAGTAATGAAGCAGTAGGCGATGCAGGCCTTTGATGAATCCCGTCGACTTTGCTCGATTTCGGTTAGCTAATTTGCAGGCCGCATGAACCAGAGTGACATATACCGCATCCAAATTGCTGAAAGTGCCTCGAGCCTCCACATAGAAACTCAGTTGCTGTTCCAAGTCGCGCCCAAAGTGAACTTTATGAATAAAGACGTTGATGAGTTGAGAAATTTGGCGGCGCTCATCCTCTACAGACAGGGCACTAAGATATAATATTACAGATATATCAAAGAATATTTTTTTCATATTATTAGGCTACTCACTTCACAGAATCATTCAAAATCTTGCCGAGATACATCAACGCGTTTGTAACCACAGCATCACAAGTATATTCCTCGCTATTCTGTTTATAGAAACTAAGAATGTTCTTGCATACTTCAACACGAACAGATTCCTTTTGAAACAGATCCAAGTAGGGCAGAAAGTTCGGCTGGATTAGCAGCAACTCAATGCTTCGATAGTTTTGCATTATCCTGGTTAGAATGTTTTGCAATTGCGAATAGTGCTTCTCATAGGCTTTGCCAAGACACATTCGAGCATTCAGTTCGCCTAACAACCGGTTTACCTCGTGTATCTGTAAGAATTAACAAAAAAATATTCTAATAAATATTCTGAACATCTAAAATCTAGTTAACTAGAAAATAAGCCTTAACAACTCAAACTAACCGTAAAATACTGAGATACGAAGACAGCCCAAGTTTCCACACAATTGATATACTCATTAGGATCCGTCAGCTTGTTAATCGTCTCAAAAGCAGTTTTCAAAAAGCAAATCCGCTGCTCTTGCAATGGAGCACAGCTACTAACGCAGCTTCCCAGGGAGCGTAGCAACTGGGACTTGGAGATTCCAGGGGTTTCGGAAGCGTTAATTAAGTCTATGAATTCTAATGCATTTGTGGCAATAAACTCTGACTTAAAGGAATTCAGAATCGACATCAGAATAGCTCCGCTGTGGTTAAATCTGGTATGAGTACAACTGCAAGGTTATAGAAGACTGTAACTTACTTATTCTTCAGCTGCTTGCACTCATTCAGCATATCCTGCGTGTGCAGTTCGCATTTGTGTACAAGGCAGAGAAGCATATAGTCAAATGCCGGTGCATACAGCTGGAGGTAGGAGCTAGCAGTCACAATCTCTGGATGAAGATTAAAGCGGGCCACAAAACGAAAGATCTGTCAAAATATATATTTATAATTCAAATGGTCGATCTTTTTACAAAACAAGACACTCACCTGAGGGTATATGACGAAGAGATCGGTAAAGTTTTCCCTGATGTATGTCTTACTGGGAGTGAGGGTCACGCCCTTCCGCACCAAGTAGCAGCGGGCATAGCTGGATACCAAAGGATCGGCTAAGCCCCTTAACTGATGGGTCAACCGTTGCAATATTCGCTCATACTCCTCGCTGGAGGATGACAGGAACTCATAACACTTGAATATGGACAGCTCCAGGTACAGACGTGGCAGCAACTCCCGAATAGAGGCGATCTTGTAAAACCAATTCTGGCAAGTATCCCTGGCAGCCTCTCGTTCCCGCTCCAATGTGGCAGCTGATGCTGCAGGATCTCCAGAGCCCTTGGCCCGCAATCGTTCATATACCAGCTTCCCGAAAACGTCTAGGATGTCCGTGATAAGCACATACTGACTCGGATAGAACTGCAGCACAGTGGTGTCCGCTAGCATCTTCGCACACTGTATGGCTATCTTCAGAGCCTTTACCCTCTGATCGTTGTGCCAGGACTGGATGAGCTCTTGCTTAAGTTGTTCAAATCGCTGGATGTACTCCTGCTGCGTGAGATCCATCATGTGACGCATGCTGCCATCGTCAAAGTGATCCAACTGCTCAAGGCGGTACTTCGTCTTGTCTGCCACCACTGTTTGGGCTTTGACTAATTTTTGGATAAAGAAAATTTAGTATCAAATCACACATCGGTTTTATAGATTTCTATAGATCCGTCTTAATTGTACGGTTACGTAACGGAAAAAAGTCGTTAAAAAAATTATTAGGTATTTTTGATCTTCATAACACTATACTTGAAGGGTGTGAAGAATTAATTTAAAATGGTAAATAGATAATAAATAAACTAAAGACATACTACTTTCACTGCCGCCGTCCAAGCTTCCGGAAGCAACAAGGAAGCTGGTGGAGAGCGATAGCTTCTCGTTGGTAGTAAAGCGGTTGAGGATGCCCAGGCGACGGCTACTCCACTGCAACGTGTTGTCCTCCGGTTCTGTTCGGTCCCGTTCGCGACGCTTCGATTTGATGTCCTGCAGGCCGGAATGCGAAATGCTTAGTCATGTTCCTTTCGGGTGGTACCATTTTACTTACGAATTCGGTGACCATTTGGCTGAGTGGATCGTTGAGTTCCTCATCTTGGCGGGCGAACTGTGAGAGCGGGTCGGTGCCCTCTAGAGCCCTGCTCAAGGGATTGGTGTTCACGACCTGAATAGGAGTTAGTTTTCTATAGATAAATACCAATGGGGCGTTGTATCATTTACCCACCGTCACTGCTTGTTGTTTCAGCGGATGATCCAGCGTGGCCTGGCCAGCCAGGCGGTTTTTCCGGACTTCGTAGCATCGTGGCACGCACACCCTTCAGTTAAATGCAATATTTATGAATTCTTATTTGTTTATTTTCGGGAAAAATAAATAAAATACCATTCCAAGTTCGCCATAGCGTCGTGGTTGTTGTTGTCGGCATCCCAGACAGCTGTTTGCTAACAGTCATGGGCGTAGGCAGAAAAACTTGAGGGGCTGAATCCAGCGAAGAAACTGTACCTTCTCGTGGTGTAATACGTAAAGAATATTCTAGTGAGAAGTCATGACATGTTTACATATTTTTAGGTATAAATTGAGTTTAGAATAAGATTTAAGTAATACACCATTTTTGAATATTGCTTCGAATTAACTAAAAGAAGTAAGAATACCTTAATACTAATTTCCATTTTTTATTTAAAGACTTGCAATACAATACAAAAAGAGCAATACAATTTCATAAAAAATAAAATCACAAGAATAAAAAAATGTGTATAATTATTCCAAAATTAGAATATCAAGAATAATAATTAATAGATATATATTGTTTTAAAATTTCAAAAGTCACTTTATCTTATACAAATCCCCAAATCTACGCCTCTGAAAGCCTTTGGTTCGGGGCGAACGGCAATCTAATACAGTGCACTTCCTGGTGAATGGCAAATGCAGTTGACAAGCGACGCGTTTTATTTTTTGTGTTCACAATTGTTTTAAAAACGATTTAATTTGGGATTGCGACTAAAAAAAATGTCCAAATCTGCGCTGAAACACCTGAAGAGCACGTGCCGAGTGTGCGGAAAGTATGCGAGCAACAAGCGATCGCCGAAAATATTCGAACGGACCAATACAAAGATGATTGACAACATTGAGGCGCTAACTGGCTTGCGGGTAAATTTTCCATTGTCGATTTGTAGAATCTAATATTTTTAGAACCAAACACTCCTTTGTTCACCCTGCAGCTGGAGAACTATGGCTGCCTGCCGGATCAGATATGCGAGTGCTGCAGCATGGAACTGGCCGCCGCCATAAAGTTGAGGGAGCGCTGTATTACCGCTCAGCGGGAGTTGCTTATGGGATTGACCGAGGAGCAGCGCCAAGGCATCTCGGCCTTTTACCGGGCCGCCGTTATGGGCGAGGAGATTTCCGATGCGGTGAAGAAGTACATGCCGCCCGACGACGAAGAGGTGTTCGCTACCTATCAGGAAATAGTGCTCGAGGAGCCAAAGGAAGAGATCGACGAGAACAAAGAGTACGAAAGTACATACTACGAGGTGGCAGAGGGAAATGCTGGCGAGGATGACGGGGGCTCTTTGATAGAGGAGGCCGAATACGAATCCATCATGGCCGAGGACGAGGAGCAGCAGCATTTAGAGATGGAAGAAGATGCCGAGCTGATTGTGGGCGATGTCAACGACGCCTACGTCTACGATTCTGACGATGAGGTGGCCGTGCTGGACAACGTGCTGGATGACGAGTACGAGCACGAAAACATTGTGGTCAAGAAGTGCAGTCTGCCGCCGAAGCCGAAGGTCCGCTCGGATGATCATCGCCGCCGAGGCACAGGAGGAGTGTACATCTGCGAGCAGTGCGGCAACCACATCAAGGGTCGCATGGCCTTTGAACTCCACTGCCGTCGCCATCGCGGAGACAAGCAGTTTGGTTGCGAGTAAGTGGATTTCTATCCCTGTTTGGGTGCAGTGTTAAATAGTGTTATTCACAGGCTCTGTCAGTCGCGCTTCTGCACCACTTCCGAACTGAAGCGTCACATGCGTAAGCACACGGGAGAGCGTCCTTTCGCCTGCCAGTACTGCGGCCGGTGTTTCACCGACTACACCACCCGGGTCAAGCACGAGCGCACTCATACCAACGAACGCCCCTACGTCTGCGGCACCTGCGGCAAGGCCTTCACCACGGGCTACATCCTCAAGAACCACATGCTGATACATTCCGGCGAGCGGGCATATAGGTGAGCTAGGACTGCCAACATGATATTTAAATCAGTTAAAGGAAATCCTACAATTAGATTATTTAATTAGCTTATACCAGTTAACACTTAAAGATGATTCTAAATCTGAATTTCTTTACAGGTGCGAGCTGTGCGACAAGTCATTTATGCTGCCCACCCACCTGAGCACCCACTTCCGGTCTGGAGTTCACAAACGGCACCTAGAGAAGGCCGAAATGAAGCAGGTCCTTGAGCAGGAGCAGAAACGGGATCTTAAGGAGGAAGAGGAGGACAGCCTGCACATCTAAAACATATACATATGTAGCAATACTAAGCGATGCAAAAACGACAATGGCGCACAGCCAAGAAGCATTTCTGCAAAACAAATAAAATAAACATTGTAATAGAATTTAATCCCCTGAATAAATCCCAGCTTCAAAACCTAGGTACAGTGTAATTAGTTTACTCTATGGCGTTTCCCTGTGAATGGCAAAACTGAACAGCTGGTTAATCGAGCGTAGCGTTGTTTACAAAAATCTTTATGGAATTTTGTTTAAATTCTTACAGCAGCTGAAAATGCGTCAAAAAGTGTGTCGTACATGTGGTAAAAACACAAATAAGGAGAGATCGTTGAATATATTTGAAAGGCGCAACCAAAATACATTGGAGCACATCAAATTACTAACAGGGGTTTTGGTTAGTGGAAAAGTTTCCTTCAAATTTCCAAATTTACCATACTATATCTTTTACAGTTGGAAAATTGTACCAAGCTGCCCGATTTATTGTGTATGCACTGCCAAACAAGGGTGAAACAAGCTATATCCTTCCGGCAACGCTGTTTGGAAGTTCAAAGAGAACTCCTCGAATCGCTGGATGAAAAGGAGCACCTAAAAGTCCCCGAGGTCTACGGTGGGATCTTTAAGCAGGAGGATAACTTTGACCATTCAGAAATCCGTATACAGATCGAGCGAATCGATGACGGCGATGCCAGCCCTAATGGAACATCCTACATAAACTTGGAAAGTCTTCTCAGTGAATCTGAAATAAATGAGGAGGAGCATAATGACGACGATATCTCTTATGGTGAAGTGGATTATATTATTTATGAGACCGATGAAGATGTGAATGAAAAACCAGACCGAAAATCAAGCCCTCAGAATCCCAAAACAAGAAGGAAACGAAGGAAGCCCGGTGAATCCAATGGCACATTTGTTTGTGAAGAATGCGGAAATAATGTCAAAGGACGAATGGCATTTATACTGCATTGCAAGCGACATCGCGGCGTCAAAGAATATGAATGCGAGTAAGTGGATCATCTATTTTAGATGGGTCGTAACTAATTGTCGTGCTCTTTCTTTACTATTTTACATAAAACCTTTTCATTATGATTTTTCTATTAAGATTCTGTCAGGATCGCTTCTGTACCCAGGCGGAACTTAAGCGCCACGTCCGGAAGCACACCGGAGAGAAACCTTTTGAGTGCCGGCACTGTTCCCGTAGTTTCTCGGACTATAGCACGCGGCTGAAGCACGAGCGGACTCACACAAATGAACGCCCATTTGCCTGCAGGGAATGCAAGAGTGCCTTTACCACCGCCTACATTCTAAAGAACCACATGCTTGTACACACCGGTGAAAAGGCCTTTAGGTATGAAACAGCCCAAAATCATGGCTTTTTAACTAATAATTATCTCTTTTTTTGCAGGTGCAACTTATGCGATAAGTCCTTCAGTCGTGACACACACCTCACTACCCACTACCGTTCAAATGCTCACAAACGCAATTTGCAGAAGGATGGCATAATCACCAGCCAGGATTCAGAAGAGGGCATTTAATAGTTATATTAGCAAATAACTCATTAGCAATTAGAACTACACCTAACAAAAAAAAACCAGTCTTTTTAGAATTAAGCTTGCAGAATAAGACGGGAGACGGACGTGGCTATATCAACCCGCCTAGTGATGCTTTATAGGATCGAAAATGCTTGTTTAGTGCGTTACAAACTTCTGACCAAAATTTTAATACGCTGCGCAAAAGAATACAAATTAAAAAATATTTTTAAAGATAGAATATATTTGTTCTGTCTCTTGGTATATTATTTTTAAGACACTAAGTCATCTTTAATTTTCCAATTCTTTAAAATTTAGCTCAGGTTTTCCCCTTTAAGGATTTATTAAAACACTATATTATTTAAACTATATTTGGCTTTTTCAAGGTTGAGATTAATTCGTTAATGGTCTAATTTGTACTATACATCAGAGTGGTTGATCCCAGGGTTCCCAGATCCAAAGATGCATCCTGCTCCTGCTCCGCGGGCAAAGGCACTTCTATCGTAAAGGCAATAGCTTCTGGCTCCGGCTCATTTCCCGCCTCAAGTTTAGCCTGCCCCGCTGGCAACGATTGTGGCAGCTGAATTTCACCCGACTCTGCCTTCGCTTTCTCCACATTGTGTTTGTGGGTATTGGAGCGGTAGTGTGTCTTTAAGTGAGTGGGTCGCGCAAATGACCGATGGCACAGGTCGCATCTGTAAAGGGATTAATTGAATATTCAATTGCTTGGGCAAAGATTCAGTTACTAACCTGAACAGCCGCTCACCTGTATGGATGAGCATGTGATTCTTGAGGATGTACGAGTTGGTAAAGCCCTTGCCACACTGGGCACAAACAAATGGTCTGTCATTTGTGTGAGTCCGTTCATGCCGCAGTCGTCCGCTGTAGTTGACATAGGTGCGGTCACAGAAGCGGCATTGGAAATTCCGATCCCCGGTGTGCATTACCTGGTGGCCTTTCAGCTCGCCAGAGGAGAGGAAGCGTGCGGGGCACAGTCTACAAAGGATATAATGACAGAATATAATCAAATAATCACCGAGACGTTGCAAAAATGTATCATACTCGCACTGGAATGGCCTGATCCCGCTGTGCTTCCTCAGGTGACGATCGAAGGAGGATTTTCCGGTGATGTTGTTACCGCACTGATCGCAAAAGAAAACAGGGAGAGGAACCTTGGGTCGCTTTTCACTTTTCCCTGATTTCTTGGCTCCACGACGTCGATTTCTTTTCACCCTGACCGGTGAGGCGGGCCCTTCATTTTCGGAAGAAGAGGACATCTCTTTGATGGCCAAATCCATGTCGGCTTCGTTGCAGGAATCCAAATGATCGATTCCATCGTCCTCCTCGTCGCTATTGCTCAGGTTCTCGAGCTTAATCATTATCTCTAGGGGGCTGGGAGGGGTGTTTGGAGCGGGGTCTTCATGGCGTTGTCTTTGGGAGCGGGCACTACGACGAACAGAGGAGCGGGTTGTGGTTTCTTCGGTTCTGGCCACCGACTCCTCAAAGATCTTTTGACTGCTCAAGCAGCGATCGCGAAAGGATATGGCGCTCTGCAGATCCGTTTGACAGGTCCCGCACATCCAGTCGGGTAAATCAGGTTCACAGTGGAGCTTTACAAATATAATCAATTTAAATGGGAGAAATTAACATTTTTCGTGGGCTTACCAGAACGCCGGTGAGTAAATTGATTTGTTGCAGCACTTTCCGAGCACCATTGTTGAACAGTTTAAGCGATTTCGAGTTATCTGTGCACCTGGCGCACACGCGGCACACATTCTGAAGCATTTTACCAGGATATCCCAAATCAAATTGGTAAATTCCTAATTGTAAACATTGCCAGTAACCTGAAATAAATTTGCCAATTACCACGAAACACTCGCAATCCATTGCACACATATAGGCGTTATACAACACTGTTACATAATAAGTCCGCGAATTAATAACGGTCACTAGCAGTTTAAAAAACAAAAAAAAATCAAGCATGTCTTTTGAAATAAATAATTACGGTACCCAAGATCTCTATAATGTATAAATCTAGTTATGGTTAAAATGATAATACAAATATTAGACGAAATGGCCATACAAATATTGTCTTTAATATCGTAAAAAATTAAGTTTTTTGTGAAACAAGTAGCAAACTAGAAAACTGTTATTATTCTGTGCTAAGCGAAGTTGCATCAAAAATGTAAGGACGCTATCAAGATGAAGCTTCTGTGCCATTGATTTTCTTTCTTTCGACATTTTGGCGGTGGAACATCGATCGAAAGTGCACTACTAGGTGTTCCTTTCTCTGAAAGGAGCGATCGCAAAGGTCGCATCGGAAATCCCTTTCGCCCGTGTGAATGACCATGTGTTTTTTCAGGACGTTCGAATAGGAAAAGGTCTTGCCGCATTCTTCGCAGACATAGGGTCGCTCGTTGGTGTGAGTCCTCTCATGATTCATCCGACCCATATAGCTGACGTACTTCCTCTCGCAATAGCGACAGGCAAACGGTTGCCCACCAGTGTGGACATGAAGATGAGCCCGCAGTTCCGCAGCGGAAAGAAACCTCGCATCACATTCCCTAAGAAAAGATACAAATAGATACAAAAATTAGCATACGATTTTGCAATTCTAAGCCGAGGTACAGTCTTACTTGCAGCTAAATGGACGTTCGCCTGCGTGCTTTCTCATGTGGCGCAGGAAAGTTGATCTGGAGACGAATGGGGTTCCGCACAGTTCGCATTTGTAAATCTTATGAACGGGCTTGGATTTGTTAGTGGTTTTCGGAATCTTTTGAGTGGGGACGGAGACGTTATCTTTTCCTCTTTGGCTACAATCCGCTCCCTCTGGCCCCTCTATATCACATATCAGATTGTCATCCAAGGGCTCCTCTTCAATCAGTATTTGAAACGTTTCTTCCAGCACTCTATCATCGTCACTCTCCCGAAAATCGCTGACTTTGGCACATTTTTGCAGTTCCAACTCAGGTTTCGCCTTGACACTCCCTTCACTTTGCGACTCACTAGACGAGGAGTCTTCAGCGGTGGTCAGCCACTTCTTTTGGGTCTTGATGCACAAATTACGGAATGCCAATACCGATCTGAGATCTAATTGGCAGCAGAGACACATGAACTCTGGAGCATTTTCCTGTGCTTCTAACTGATATATTTACATTAAAAACTATATCTGCCTGGGTTTTTAACCGCTTTTTACTCACCCTCAGTCCGCTTATCAATTCCAAGTGCCTTAGATATTTCCTATTGACCAAATCAAATAGATTCACGCTTCTTTTGCAGACCTTCTGCCTTCCGCACACTCTGCAAATGTTGTTCATCATCTTGCTAGCTCAGCTCGACTGATTGAAAAGCAATTGCATGTTAATCTGTTTATTTGAATCGAACAGCTGCGCCATCATTCAGAGGAAAACGCGTTTAATTTATGCAAGGCGCCAAAAGCAGGGGAGTTTTTGTAAAGTTTCAAGTTATATTTGAATAATGTAACGTTCTTTTAAAAGTTCGAGCAGTCTGTTTTATCAGAAGCTTCAAAATACAATAATATAATAAAATGAACAAGTTGATGTAACATCTTAATCTATATAAGTACCAAGATCACTATTGTTAAAGTTGTACAGTTGCGGTCAAAATAATAGTATTTTAAGATCCAAGTGTTTAGTTTACTATTGTAAAATGTCTACAGTTGAGGTCAAATTAATAATATATAAAAAATCATAAAATGTAAATTAAGTAAATAAATGGATTGATTTAAGGCACATATTTAAATCCAATAATTATATTAATACTTTTACTTTTTTTGCAGCTGGATACCAGTACTTGTAAAAAATGTATTTAAGCTCGTTTAAGTTTGTTCTTGTGTTTTTCGAAATTCTTTCGTTCACATAAGTATTTTTGAAATAAAACTGGATTAACAATTGATGATTTTTGTTTTACAAATAAATTTAAAATAATACACGTTTCATTAACTGAGATTCTTTGAAAATCTTTTAAACTCCTGAAAAGATAGCGGTGTGAAAACCTATCTTATTAAGTAAAAAAAAGTAAAAACCATTTTGTCTCTTAAAATTTTAGTAAATTATTTAAATGTTTCTTGAGATTTTGTGTAATTTGTAAAATTGTTAATATTCAACTTTGATTACGCTGATGATGACAGATTTTTGTAAGCTGCCATTAACATTATACATAACGATATAGGCACAATTGTGATATTTGAGGAGGCGGAAGACTATATGCTAAAGTTTTTGTAAATTAAGTTTTATATAGATGGAACCATGGCAAATACAATTATATGATAACTGCAGGGTATAAAAGCACTGGTTTGCCGGAGTTTGCTTTTTTCTAGTTGTCAACAATTTTAAAATGTAATTTTAATGTTGCATTTGATGTTCTCCTTTGTTGTTAGCTTATTCAGCTTTTGTGCAATCCATACGAATTATTTATTTTGGTATATCAACTGAGGAAATAATTAGCAGAAAGTCGTCTTGAACTCAATTAAATTTCCTGGCACAAAATATCGAATTGTGACTGAACTAATTTTTCGTCGACAGAACTAGACAATTTGGTACTTTCAGACCATGTTTCATCGGTTTCCATGTTGACCGTAGACAAAGATTCTGATGATAATGATCCAGCCATTTCAGCATTCCGCTTGTGCTTACTCGAGGTAAAGTGGGTGACCAGATGTTTCTTTAAGCTGAACGACCGATCACAAATTGCGCAGCTGAAAAGGTCCAACAATATTGTTATATAATTGATGGCACTGTCACTGAAATCTCATTTGCATACCTAAACTTCTTCAAAGCTGTGTGGGACTCCATGTGGGCCTTCAGGATGCAGGTCCTCGTAAAAGTCTTGCCGCACTGGTCGCACACAAAAGGTCTTTCGTTCGTGTGGATCCTTTCGTGCTTCTTCCGGCCGACCACGGAGAAGTATCTACGCTCGCAGTAGCGACAGGGAAACGGAGGATCCTTGGTGTGATGGGTGAGATTGTGGGCCTTCAATTCATTCCCTGACAAAAAGGTCTTTGAACACTCCCTTGAAAAGAGGGTACGGTTATGGTTACCAAACGGAATAAAACTATAAGATGTATGATGATAAATACCACCATTTTCATCTGATATGTTAAATCTTGAATATGATGCTAAAATATACAAATTCATGCGGCAGCAGACTAATTCAAATCCGAAATTTGATACCAGATGATACCAGATGATACAGACGCTCTACGGCCGAGTCTATTATCTTATCTTCATCTTGAATAAACATTATGTTCACATAGGTACATACCATGCCATGAAAAATGTAAATATCTATCTCGTTTCTATTTTATTCTGAGCAATGGTGGATTCTGGTGAAGATAAACTTACTTGCAGGGATAGGGTCTCTTTCCGGTGTGGTCATACTTGTGTCTGATCAAAGATGACTTATTGGTTTTGATGACTCCGCAAGTATTACATGCGAAGATTTGTACTTTGCCGGTTAATTTGCACTCCGAGTCCGTATCCTCATCGTCCATTAAAAGAAATTCCTCCTCTTTTACCTCGAATTCCTCTATCTTTGCATCGTCATCATCTAGTTTAGTATCGTCATCCTCTAGTTTTGGATCGCCATCCGTAGACTCCGGTTCCCTGGAGATCTCAGCTAGCTGATCAAATTCTTCATCGCCACCTGTTGCTTCCGGAAAAGGTATATTCTCGTCTGCTACGACAATGTCCACGGTTTCCACTGGCATCGTGGACCGCGCCCTTCGTCGCGTGTACTTTCTTTTTTTGGGCAGCGGATCCATTGGTTCCTCCTTCTGGTTTTCATCGAATTCCTCAGCCTTCTCGCTTGGCACCCATTTCTTCTGCTCCGAGATACAGGTCCTCCGGAAGTGCATGGCCGAATTAATGTCCATTTGGCAGCAGAAACAAACCATATCCGGTGCTTTAGGAATTTGCTGCAGCTGTACGATAAAAAAAAGGGAGCGCACATATAATTGCAAGATCTATTTTTATTTTTGGCCAAAACTTACGCGAATTCCGGTTATTAGGTGGATACGGCGCAGGACCTCCATCTCTTGTCTGCCAGGCTTGAAGATGTTTACGGCTTTTGGGCATAGTCTACTCCTGCCGCAAACTCGGCACACGTTTACTAACATTTTACCTTTTTGTTTCAAAGTAAAGGAATTAAAAAAACTGGTTGGGGCTACATTGTCTATTCTCCCCGAAACGCATGCATTACTAGTGCTGCAAAACGAAAAATGCTGATATTTCAATAAAGCCTGCGCGCTACTTTTAATCCCTTTCGAAAATTTTGAAATTCTACAATCTATAAAATTATAAACTAATAAAAATTAAGTTAAAGGTATAAAGGTATCCTGTTTCCAATTAGCTGACAAGAGCTTGATAAAATTTATAAAATGTTTATCTTGTGGTGTAGTTTATAGTTTGAAATGTTTTTGGTTTATTTTGAGTGAGAGTTTTGAACTACTGCGGCCAGGGCCTTTTTCGAACTATTGAAAAATATTATGAGTTTAGAGCCGAAACAGGGTGCCGAAGAATTGGAAAAGTCCTAAGCGTTTAAGCAGTCGTTGTCGTCATACGCCTTGATAACGTTGTCCTTGATCTGCAGGTCCTTGTGGAACAGGATCTCGCTGTGCAGCGCCTCCTCCCGTTCGCGGGCTATCTTAAGCTCCAGGAGATCAAGGCGCCGCCGTTCGATCATGACGCGATAGCGATGAAGCTCCTGCTGGCGCTGCCGGAAAGTGGGGAGATGGGTGGTTCCGGCACTTCCGCTACTGGCGCTGGATCCCTTGTTGCCCCCCGCCGCAGTGGCAGTCACTGGGGATGAGCCTGCTTTCGTCCCAGCGGACACCTTGCTCGCCGCAGTGCGACGCCTAATCGGGGATGTACTTCGCCGCGCCGTGGGCGCCGAAACATGGACACTGATCAGCTCGCTGCGCAGCCTGGGTCCTGGATCCTGGTCCTGGACAGGACTGTTCTTGGGGACCTCCAGCTCGCCGGAGCAGCACGAGTCCGTGTCATGGGTTATCGACATGCGTTTTCGGTGGGCAAACCTTGGCTCCACCTCGCGCACCACGCACGTCTGCTGCGGCGGCAGGCTGAAGGACTCCAGTTTGAGATCGGTCACCAGAACCCGGGAAGTGCTAGGGAACCGCTCCGTCGACGAATCCTTGCTCCGCTTGTACTTCAGCGACTCGTGGGAGGGCTTGTAGCGCAACGCCAGGCTGGGCTTCGCGGTCAGCACAATATCCGCCGGATCATCTTCCGCTAATTCTACCACTTTCTGCCGCTTATGAATACCGTCGAAGAGACGCCGCCAGTAGATGACCGCCCGTTCCTTGGCGCTGGTCTCCTTTATATCCGGCAAAGAGGTGGCCGACGAATGGTTGGCCTTCCACACCGGCTCCTTCAGGTTGACCGCCTTGTTGGCCGCCTCGCGCTCTTCGGTGCCGATCCTCTTCTTGCCCAGCTCGCGCAGGAGTAACAGCCAGTTTTCGCTGGCCGTGCGTCTCCTGGTGGGCACATCAGTGACCTGACTTCGATTCTGCTGGGCGGATACTGACGAGTTACGAACAGGAACACGGCGATAATTGACCAGGGAGTCGAAGGTTTCCTCCTCATCATTGAGCTTCCACATGACTCGACGACTGCTGCTGGACATGGAATGGTCAAATGCCTCATCTAAAAATAATATATAGATAATAGTATGAGATATTCCTGTATATAAACCTTCTTTTGAAGGACTCACCCGACTTGTGGATTCTATCCATGGAGCTCAATTAATTTTTTCGTTGAACAAATAAACTCCTTCTGTCCCTCGAATTCGCCACTGGCCTGCAGCAGTTCTAATTTCAATTTAGAGAGTGCACAAATTTGGAAGAGATGTGTTTGTGTGGCTGAAATATGTAATATCAAAAATTTTGCCTGCTCTGAATGAAATACACCTGTCGTGCTCTAAAAGATCGTAATGAAACCACAGCCTACTAAGAGCATGTCTGGATTCCCTGGATCTTTAATTGGTATTTCATCGATTGTTTATAAATTTCTCATAAAATCTCTTGTTTTTGTTTTTTTTTTGTTTATTAACTAATCCGTTTTACACGCGCTTTAAAAGTATGTTAACATTTTGCGTTTAACGAAATGACATAAATATTATACAAGTAAATTAGTCAACTTAGGATGTGACTTTGGTTTGTTCCAGCTTCCAGTGGTTTTTCTTTAATTAAAATTGTCGTTTTAAAAGCATGAGATTTGTGGACTGTTGAGAGTTTTGCGATTGGCTTTTGCGCTAGTTGCTATGAAACCACAAAAGGGTCTTACAAATTATACACAATCTTTGTGAACATTGGTGACTAGCATTAGTGGAGCTGCATTTTCAATCCTCTGTTCCTTTTAGGCGGGGATAATTGAGCGTGATTTATCGAGGGTTTCAGTTGCCAATAGGCAGAATTAGTGAGAAGAACTTCGCAAGGGTTCTGCGGCACTATCATGGAGGGTTTTTGCCTAGTTGTTAACATTCTTAAGATGTTTAATATGATTTAGCTAATTTGTTTTCCCTTTCTTGTAAATGTTTTTACAATTGGGTTTGCTTTGTTTTAGTACCGTCTTTAACATGTTATTTACGCTATATGCTAGTTTTATATAAAGTATTTTCATTAAAGTACACACATGGTCTAGACTTTTGCTGGGCTTGATTTTGTTTTGTTCTGTTCTTCTTGTTCTCCGCTATTTGAATATTGGTATGAACTACTAACTGCTTCGCTTAAGCACAATTCACATGATTCGGGTTTTGACTAGGTTTTCTGAGATATTCTATTTTTTACAATTCTTTTAAAGATTCGAGTTATCTGTGAACTATTATAAATTATTTGCACACATTAAATTTGTTTTGGGTGTTTTTTTTCGATATTTTTTACAAAAAAATGTCATCTTAAAAATTTGAAAATTATTCAAGTTTAAGATTTAGCTTGTCTTATATTGGTTCCAATTGATGCTTAAATGTTAACAATTTTTGTATATAAAACCGTTAAATATATGTATATAAGAGTGTGTGTATGTTATCATAAACCTTACTATACATAAGTATTAATATGCTACATATGTTTTTTTTGTTTCTGTTTGGTTTTCTCCTCGGCCATGAGCAATTCAGCTGCCTACTGCAATTTAACTTCATTATGTTTCATTACACTTCACTTCAGTTCACTTCATTTTTTCCGATCTTGTATATTGCTAAACATTCGCATGTATATTTGTTGCTGGTTGGCTGATGTTGCTGTCTATGTGGCTAATCATAAGTTACTGGACGACACAGCGAGAAAACGAAGACGATGGCATACCACACCTCGGTCATGTAAAGTGCAATCTGCAGCGTGCACAGGCAGTACTCCAGGCGCAGTCGATAGGTCTGCATCAGCAGCAGATAGGAGACGCCCACGAAGCAGGGGGCGGTCATGAAGACCGACAGTATGGCTGACCAACCTGGTATCGAAAGAGAGAAAAATCCATTAAAAGCTGTTCGAAATCAATCACAAATGCGGTGGATATTGATAAAGAAGTGAATTTAAATGAATTAAAGGTCAGATTTAAAGGGGGAGCATATGTATACGGTGAATTAATATTTAACCCTAGTTTAAACAAGAGATTTGCCACAGTTAACAATAGGGTTCTGCATTAAGTCTCTAGAGAGGTCTCTATATAGGAGAATGGTTAAATATAATTTGCTTTAATTGATAACAATTCTCTTGTTTTAGTAAAACCTAAAATTAGACTGGAAGGCGGGCGAAAGCTCTCTACCTCGGTCGGCCAGCGAACTCATTCTCCCCATTATCAGGCGGATTGTCTCGAAGACAATGAAGCTAATCATCACCCCTGTGTCCAGGGCTAGACTGTGTCCCGTATAGCTGAGATTGATGGCCTTCAGGAGGCCCATGGCCATCTCGCAGCAGGCGAACATGCCGAAGTAGAACGAGTTGAGGTAGATCAACACCTCGTAGTTCATGCTGGGGTTCGGCTTCTTCGGCACGAGCGGTGGGGGCCGCTTGGGCGGCATCTTTCTTGCGGCTTGATTCCTCCGGCTTCTACTGCTCCTTCTTCTTCCCCTTGAAGTCTACGGCAAATGGGACAGAATCGATCTCCCGGATCGCTCACACGACGGCGTTGCTCACGTTGGGCACTGTATTTATAGACTGACCATAATAATAACGCGGACCTGCCGTGCTGCTCGCTTGGCCAATGCAGCGGCATCACATCGGCGGTCTCACGGTTTGTCGCTGCGAAATGTGCTGTTTATTTGAATAATGTGCTGCTGGTCGTTGTCGCCTTTTATTTGTTTTCCCTGCTCGGTGATTTGGTCAGCATGGGCCTGCGGATGGCCTGCCCGGGAAATTTTAGAAAATGATTTCACTGGCCACAACAAGTTATTAGGGCAAATACTATTAAAACTCCCATGGCGGACATCCCCCTTGGGTAAATAACCGCCCTTAAAAGCTTAGCTTCAATTACAGAACTATGTTTATTTGATGGATTATGTCAGCATGGAATCAGTAGTTTTTAGATTTATTTTTAAAAGTTCCTAGCAAAAAACTGGTAGTTTGTTTAATTTAAACTGATAATAGAGCACCGAAGAATTTGGAGTTTTACTGTTGAGCGTCTCCGCTCTACATGAATCTATTGCTATTGGCCTTTAAATGTTTCGTTTTCAAAAACATTCATTGGGATATTTTATTTGAATTCTTATAACAAAATATTTTTCAATTAGCCATCCTGTAAAACTACAGGGTATGATGGCTAACTTATACCGAACCGAGAGATTATAACAGGCCCTCTCATCTCGCCATTCTAGTCAGCCTAACGTGTCCGCAGTGGCCCGTGTATATTACATTTGAATTAGAAGTGTACATTGCACCTAGGGGACAGCAGCGGTGTTGCACGAGCATGCAGTTCGCATATAATTTTAGACCATCAGAGCCGTATAAAAATACCGAAAAAGAGCGAGTCCGAGTCGCAACTGCGCCAGCAAGGAGGCAACGCCACAACGGCCGGACAAAAGAATGCAACCAAGAAATGCAAATTAAATGCAGCTTTGCTTTTGATAGAATCGGACGTGTAGCGTTTCTTTGCAATGTGATTTCCGTGGTCGCGAATGATCTGTGCGGATTATATAAGTCGATTAGGGTCCACGTACCTTACAGAAAATCCTCCACGAGTGCCACCCAATGGGTATGTTTTGATTCGGTGTTCGCTCTAGTATCTGCGTGTTAAAAGTGGATCCTTAGGGTAGTTTGTTGTGTGCTGGTGGCTTAGTTGACATCAACGTGGCTCAGTTTGAAGGACTTTGCGAATCCCTTGATGTGAAAGTACCAGTTGAAATTGTCTCGTCTTCGTCGTAGTCGCCACTCGGCTGTGGATGCTTCTCTTCCTCCTTCTCCTTTTCCTCCAGGTGGGAGTGTAAGTGATGGCTTGGTCTTGATCTCGATCTTGGTCGTTGACGTGGCGGCGGCAACGTGGTATATCAACTGCTAGGTGTATGTCACGGGGCGACACATTGTACAAATGAATATGCTGGCGTAGACTAGTTCAGCACCTTGTAGGGTGATCATTAAGGCACTCAGAATAATTTCGAGTTTGAGAACAAAGGTTTGAAAACAACACAAGTAGATAACAATAGCAAGACTGGGCAGTGTTAATATTACGGATGCGGTTGCTTGCCAGCCTGCAACGAAAAAAATAAGGAAAATGTAAACTATGAATGAACAGGAAGGATGGAAGGCTATTTAATTTGCCTCAGTTGGAAGATGATGAACGTTTGCTTTGTTTATAATTAATTTTGGCTGTAGGTTGTCCGTCAAATATTTACAGATTTAAAATCGAAAGTTTATATTTCATGTCATCCAGCTAATAGGTAATTGTCAATGGTATTAGCACAAACCAAACAACATATAGATTGGTCAATTTATAAAACGAATATGGACACTGTATGTTGTATGGTTAGTGGTATTAGTCAGTGCACAAGAGATTTTGGAAAACGCTTTTTAAACTTTTAATTTGTTTTGTAATATCTTTTAGGTACTTCTTTTTTAATATTTTGCATTAACATTGAACCCATATAATATTCATTTTAAAATAATTAAACTTGATATTTGCACTGTATGAAATACCATTTTGTGTTTTTGTCAATGTAGGTTCCTATAACACTCAATTTAGGATCAAAACCACTCTTAAATATAGCAGAGAATGATGGTGAATGACATAAATTGTCTTTAAATCTTTTCAAATTCTCCAACACTCTAATTAAAGTTTAAAATTACTTGAATATAATAATTTCGATGCCCAATTGCTTTTTCAATCACTTTTTCAGTTGTATATGCTTAGCTGGCTCATTTCGATGATTCGCTTTGATAGATTTCCATCGAATATTGCTTAATGTGCCAGAAGGGCGCCTTCCACTCTTGCCGCCCCGAACGCTTACACTCATCCGGGGTGATGACCATAATTACGCATACGCCGTGTGAACTACATATACGTATATGTACGCCCAAACGTTTATGGGTTATGGCCTCAGCAGGAGGGGTATGGGCAGGGTGTCCGGGCTAACAAATAATTTCGCCATGTCATCATCGCTGCCGGTGGGTTTATCCCTCCTTTCAAAGCACTATACACTCACCACGATCGCTGAGACTGCTCTTGCGGCCGAAGACGATGCGCAGGGTCTCGATGATGCACAGGGAGAGCAGGATACTGGCCTCCCGGGACAACGCGTTCTCGCCGTAGTTGAGATTGATCGCCTTCAGAACACCCACGCCCACCTCGAAGGCGGCGTACATGCCAAAGTAGAACGAGTTTAGATACATGAGTATCTCATAGATGAGGCTGGCGTTCATGGTGGCTGCTAGTCTAAAATCGAGTCCGTGACCGTGACCGTTTCCGTATCCGTGTCCTCCTCCGTTGTCTCCGGTTCCTCAAGGCGGCAGGTGCGTCGCCTCCAACTGGTTGGATGTCACCTGGGCAGTTTGGAGCAGCTCCTCCAGCTTTTCCACAGGCAGCAGCAGGTGTTTCGGCTTCTTTACGCCAGCATTGGAACTGATGGGTGGTGTGTGGGGTAGGTGCCTGTTGGACTGAAAAAGTTTTTCTAATTGCGGTCTGCTCACATGTACATATCCTACAGTCGAACTTCCTTAACTTGAACTTTTCTCTAGAGTTAACTGTGGTACCACTGATAGGGTGGTACTCCTTTTATTGACAGTAGGGAATAAGAAACTTTATTGACACTTATTTTTGTCTTCCCTATGATGGTTCTACTTATGGAAGTTTGACTGTATTTACTTATTGCCCTCACCACTTCCAATGCTTTTTCTTCTCCTCCTTTGCCTCTGCTCTTCCTCTAGCTGCTCCGCCGTTGCTTTTGTTGTTGTTCTGGATGGGGTCCCGTTGTCATGGGAGTATGTGGATGTTATATATATGTAATACAGGCGACAACTCTATGCTAATATTAAGTACATGCGTTCACGTTTATTTATACGCGTGTGCGTTGTTGTTGCCCGCTGGCCTGGGTGGTTGTTGTTGGTTTGCTGGCGAGAGACGAGTGGCACATAGAGGGGCTTATATAAAAACTCTGCCCATCGATGGAACCGAATCCTCTCCCCGCGCTGCTCCACGCACAAGCAGTGTGGCCACGGCCAAGTAACGGAAAAATTGACATTTCCAATTGGAGAAAAGCGAACGCTGTGCATTTGCAGGCCAGCATGTTCCGGTCACACTGGAAGTGTAAACAAAATCCAATGTTCTCTTTGTTTTCTGGTTTTTCTTTACCAAAAATATTTAACAAAACTGCAAAGAAATATGATAGACATTTTTGCTTTAAGAAGCTCAATTGGGGTTTATTCCAGAGCAAAAAATGAAAACTTGTACATTTTATGTTGTCGCGAATATATATTATTATAAGCTTAAGGTGTTAAAAGTAAGGAGTTAAAGTATTAGCTGCTACTATCCTTTAATTTCTGAGGCATTAAATTTAAATTGCCCGCCACAATTACTGCCAATTTTGGCAGACAAATTAAAACGATAAGTGATCGATAACGAATACCCCCAACGATAATTTTACAAGTCAAAGATATCCCATCTCCAGCTGCTTAATTGACCTATTTTGGCTAAATTATTTTATTTACCTCAGATTTACTGGATTTTCAGAATGCCAGCCGATCAAATCCAATACTCGGAGAAGTACTTCGATGACAACTTTGAATACAGGTGGGTGGCACATTCATTTAGCCCCGCGCAAAGTATTTTTTTTACCTCTGAACTTGTTTCCCCTCGCAGGCACGTAATTCTTCCACCGGATTTGGCCAAACATGTGCCCAAGGCGCATCTGATGACCGAGACTGAGTGGCGCAACCTGGGCGTGCAGCAGAGTCCCGGCTGGGTGCACTACATGGTCCACGCGCCGGAGCCTCATGTGATTCTATTCCGCCGCAAACGCATTTCGGCTGAGGACGCGCCACAGGTGGCTGCGGCAAATGCAGCGCAGGCCATTGCGAATCTGTGCGGTTAGCCAGGGAGGATCCTCCCAAGAATCCCTCTTCCAAGGACACTAATCAACACTCACGCAGTATTTCATAAGTTAGCATCAGAAACACTGATGTAAAATTAATACCCATAGCTTTAAGAGCAGTTCAGCTGGCAAGTTCAAAGACACGAAACGACATGAAGACGTCGTTTCTGTTAATTTCATTAAGTTTATTTACCTAAAATACAAATCGAAGTGTACGCCATGTGTACACTGTACAGACAGTTTAAAAGTAGTGATTAATTAATTGACTAATTGTAGCAGCGCCATGCCGCCGGCAACAGGTGATCCGCCCAGCTCTCTCGACTCAGGTCACAGTTTTTCAGCGCGTAATGCTCCATGGCGTACAGCGAGATCAGCGTAGCATTGCCCAGGATCAGCGTGAACCACAGGAAGATGTTGCCCAGCACTTTGGGAGCACTCCGCATGATGAAGACCAGGGCAACACCAACTACGCCAAAGAAGAAGAACATCACTGGGAAGAACATTTGCAGGGCGAAGCCTAACACTTGCTCATGCACCAGTGCGGATATCATAAACACCGACAGCGAAGCGGCCACCTTGGAGCCCCGGAACACATGCCTGTACATGTCCTTGTACACATACTCATACAGCCAGTCGTGAACCACCACGTTCCAATTTCTGTAGTACCCATCGTACGTGTGCGACGTCCACCAGTCCTTGTAGAACATTCGATCACCGAAGCGCAGCAGCTCCGCCGTGAAGTTCAGCCAGGAGTGCAGGATGAGGTAGAATCCGCACAGGAAGATCACAGCACTGGGCAGCATCATGCCGAAGAGCTTGAGGATGAGTTGGGAGGGGCCCATTGGCTCCAGGCCGTACTGCCCGAAGTGCTCGTGGATGTGCCGCTCGTGGATGAAGGCGTACAGGAAGGCTATGGCCACCACCTCCAGCAGGCGGTTCAGGGCGAACTTCCAGCGGATGTGCGAGGTGCGCGGATAGCTGTCCCGGTAGATGAGCGTGGGTGCAAAGAGGAAGTAAGTGTAGCAGCTCAGCGGCGGCACGAAAGGTCTTCCAGTAACTTCCTTCTCCTCCTTTGCATCTTCATTCTTGACCTTTCCTGCTAAAACCCGCTCTGCATTGTACCTCACAAAGGCGTGCATCTTCATCAGAAGTCTGGTGCTTTCCAGCAGCAGGACACAGGCACTCACGAAGGGCAGGTTGAACTTCAGGCAAAGGGAAGTGGACACAAAGCAGAACACCAGTTGGGAACTGATATACAGGATCAGACAGCTGTGCGACCAGAAACGCTGGAGGGAACCTATTAAGGTGAAATTTTTTAAACTCTTATTTCACATTATATTACACTATTTTCAATATATTAAAAATATTTGATAAGTTATGCCAATTTGAGTAAGCAAAAAAAGTAGGGTCAAAATAAGTCTGGAATTTTAAGTGCCAGCTTTTGTTAAAAACATTAATCGTAGTATATGACAACGGAGATGACTAACTATTAACTCAAATTTCCTTTGTTAAAAGTGAAGTCAACTGACACAATTATAATGATGTAAGGCTTATACTTTAAAAAAACATTAATCTGTTATTGCCAAGTTGCTGATCTTTTTTAAAAGTATTTTAATGTAATAGATACTTTGACTGCTTTACGTTTTAATAACTTATTTAAATTATAAATGCCAAGATCTGTTTTCTGTTTAAAGAAAGATTTTGCCGTACAATCGTGATTTCATAATCCTAATCACCATCTATCAGGAAGTGTGCCTTCGTGGTATAAAAATTCCCTTTTCGGCTTACGAAAAATTTTAGTTATGGATGTTCGATAGAATCGCATATCCCATCTTGTTCACCCCAAAACCAAATCACTCACTGTGCGGTTTCAGCTTGTGCCTGACCAGAGCCCATCCGCGGAAAGCGAAGTAGAGGGCCAGGACGAAGATGTGTTCCAGCAACCAGACGCCCATCACCCAGTGCAGGCGGCGGAGTCCGCCCCGGATGGTGCCCAGTCCGAGGTCGATCCGCCCCTCCACGAAGTAGTCGTAGCAGATCACGTTTAGCAGGAACATGACCAGAATAATGTAGAAGATGTGGTAAATGGTGCGCATGTGCTCCACCTGCAGTAAAGCAGTGAGGTACGATTCCCGGGCAACGAAGACTTTTTCGGGCAGTTGTCGTCGCTGTTTTTGGCCGGATTTTTCGGATTGGTGCTGCGGCGCTGACGGCCTTGGATTTGTGCCATTTGCATGACCATTTGGGGAGTCACTGACGTCTGTGGCCGCTTCACTATTCACGCGATTGTGCCAGGTGCTCTTCCGATCCGTTCTCTCAAAGTTGGGGAACTCGTGGGCGCGTAGCTCCCGCTGCCGTAGATCCTGCAGGACATCCTCCACCATGCAGGACAACCTCTGGTCGAAGTCTCGCAGCATTTTGGACTGGAACTTCTGCAGTTTGTCGCGAACAAAGTTGAGGTCCGGCAACCTGGCCTGCGCCTCCTCCTCGCCTCGTTTTGCCTGCTTTTCCGGGGCCATGACTTGAGCTTTTGGATGGCTCTTTATTATTAAGTAGTATTAATCCTGGTCAACTGGTTAATTTTATGGCCGCGTTACTCAACCGATCTGAGCGACTGCCCCTGTGGACGTCGGTTTGCACAATGTTGGCGTCGCTAGCGCTTCTGTGCTGTTTCAAATCCGAAATGATAACGGCGCTTGACTGACTTAGCGATCAGGGGCGTGGGGCTAGGGGGTCTTCGGACCAATAAATTCTTAACAGCTAAATTTTTTATTTTAAAATCTACGGATGTTTAAAAAAGATTATTGATATTTAACAAAATTTTTTTTAATTCTACAGAAATCAGAAATAGTACAATTTTAAAATATACATTTTTAAAGTAGTGATTTTACAAAAAAATTCTTCACTCCATAATAATACAAAAAAATCTTGTAAGACATAATATTTATTTAAGTAATATAAAGACTGATTTTAAAATTGTTTACATTAAAAAATCTTGACTACATTTTTCAAACTAAACCAATGTGCCAAATTTTTTTTATTCAAAGATTTTATAGTACAATTTTTTTCAATTTCATGATATGATAATCCTGAGTAATTTTTGTTCTTAAGATGGGTACTATTCGGGTTTACTCAGAGCATTGCATGAGTGTTTTTACAAAGTACATTTTTATTTTTATACTCCCTTGGGAATTCGGACTACGACTCTGGTGTCGATTCTCTTAGTCACTCTCTTCGTTCCCGCCCGAACGCCCGCAAAATTGGGACCTAATGTTAAGTGCGCTACAATTGTAATTGAAATACATTTGGTTTAATATCTCGCACTTTGAGCAAGACGACTAGCTGTCAACGGCACTTTAATCAGTCTATTCTACGCCACAAGTGCGATAAGCCCTGTCCATTGGCTTTGGAGGAGGCGAGTGCACATGCACTTGATTTGTTTACATGATGCTGACCCTATTGCTAGAGGCCCGGTGCATTACGCACAGTGGGGCCAGCACTGTGGAACAGTCTGGATTCAGGGAATAAATATTACAAATAGTCCATTTTAATAAAATACACAACGAAGTCTTTGTTTTTGGAGCTACCTTCTTAAAAGACAGATAATTATTTGAACACTTAAAATTTGAAATACAATTTTTAGAGAGACCCACGTTTTTCAGTGCACATTGATAAGGTTAACTTGTCCTCAGATATCTCTTTCAAAGTTCATGCGCTTTATTGATAGGGGCTTATAAAACTATTGAGATTAGCACATTTGTGTAATCACTTTGCGGCTGAGCGCACCTGTGATCTTGATGTACTTACAGAAATAAACCGAGTAAACCTATTGCCCAATTTACAAAGACAAACTACGCTATACATTTTCCGTGACTATTGAAACACAACAGATATTTCATATTAATTATTATAATGATTAACAAATGTCATTAAATATTTAACCTATAAAATTGACTAAGCTTCTTTTAAATTTGACAATTTAGATTTGTATCAAAAGAACAGTCACCTTGTGAGTAGCGAATGTGTTAAAGGTTTATATACAATTTATGGTCATAAGCCTTATCTTCTGGCTCACATACTTATAAAGCTTAAAAAGGTGATTGCCTTAAGGCCTTTAAGTTAAAATAGGTCAATCTCGAAGGCTTAACATTTTTAATATGTGTTATAGTATGTTTGTCAAACAATATTAAGCCCAAAAATGCAATACTGTATAAAATAAATATTTTAATGTGTGTTATTGTTAGATGCTTGTGGTCAGTCAATGCATTGAATCATTGAAAGTAGTTTCCAAATATATTCCAACAAATACTCTACTTGTGTGTAAATTATGAAATTTTTAATTAACGAATTTTTCAAAGCCAAAAAACACAGCAAAAATAGTAGATACTTTTTGCTGCATCAAATATGGCCCAAATTGCGAATTGCACTGCACCCTTACATGTGTGTGTGTGTGTATTTTTGGCATATTTAATTGCAAATATTTACGAGAGTGTAAGTTTATGCATAAATATGTATGTGCGTATGCCGATGAGTGGAATAAAAACAAATACACGAAGCATAAACATAGTGTTTTGATAGCGAAAAATGAGCCGAAATTAAAGCTCACGGCCATGAGTCCTGCGGTTCGCAGGATGCACGCGGTGCGTGTGGGTGTCCTGAAAACAATATTAATACTGTGCAGACGCAATAACCAAAAATATTTATTATTTATGCGAAATAAACAGCAGCGGCAAGAAAAACTCAAAGCACATACCCATAAACCAAATATGAAATTAATGCAAAAATGACAACAGCAGCTAGAACCAAAGCCAGAGCGAAAAAATAACAGCCAAAAATGGAGAGTGTAATATATATGAAAATAGGAATAATAAAAGCTGCGCCAGTACCAGGACTCGTAAAGCACAGGGACCAAAAGCGGAGCGAAGTCGAGGCGTATTCATAAACATGCCGCCCGAAGGCGGCCATTATGGAGCAACCAAAACGGGCGAGAGATCCTTTGGCCGGGATAGGAGACAAACGTACACATAAAAAGACATTTTTATTGCCCCCGTTCCAAGGAGACGAAACCCGAAGAGTGGGGGACAACACAAAAAAGAGGGAGAAGCAAAAAAGGCAACAAAAATAATATGCGACCGCATAAAAATCTATATAATTCATAAACCCGCACTCGGAGAAGTGCTGTCAATGTGGCCTTTTTCCTGGCAGCCTTCTTTTGGATGTAGAGCATGAAAAACTTTTCATTCACTTTATCTGAATATTTGTCCTATTTAAACAGATATAACACCTTGGAATATAATGTTTCCGAATCATGGTTAGAATATCAAATAATAAACCTATGTTATAAAACTGAGATTTTTAAAGTATGATTGTTTTCTTTATTTTTTTGTAATATAATTTAAAATATAAGTATGTTCGTTAATATCTTATGAAAATTATAATAATCACTTAGCAATGGGCCATGTAGATCAAAAATTCTTATAAAAACAAAATGTAAATCGAATTCCCGAACTTTAAGTTGCTATTTCTTAAATAAATGAGATCAAAGAATCTGAATATAATAAATAGGTAGTAGTAGTAATAGTAGTAGTATTAACCAGGAATAATAGAACAGGTCGGCGACAAAGCATCTCGAAGGTGTTTCGAAAAGTAAGGTTTCTTTATAAAATCCGATTGTATATTTAAGGATGATATGTGGTCGTTTTGGAAGAGATCGGCGGCATCACTGCCACGAAGAGCTGGTGGAACGTAAGGAGAGAGTGGAGGAAGGCGACCGGAGACCGGACACGGGAAAGCAAACACGTACGCCGCTCTGTGGCGGCCATATTGGGTCATAAAAAGCACTCACACACACTCGCACACTACACACACTCTCACACACACGGAGAAAGCAACATAAAAGCCTGGCCACAAACCAAAAGCGGAACAACAACAGCAACAATAACGGGGGAAAAAAGTGACAGCAGCAGCAGAAAAAAATTTTATGATGCTGCCTGCGCAAAAGTTTTGTGAAGCAGAAACATATAAAAAATGTTGCATATTTTTGGGCATGTGGGAAAAGGGGGTGGCCAAAGTGGGAGGTGGGATGCCATGTGCCTGTATGTGTGTGTGTTTGTTTTGTCATTTCCGTTATTTGTCGTTGTGTTGTTGGTTTATAGGCGCACAGTTTTGTGTGTCCCGAAATGAAAACAAAAGCAAAAAAGCACACACAAATTAGAAATGGCGCATTTTTGTAATTTGGTAAAAAGGCCCATAAAACGCAGTCAAAATGTAAGCGATGATGCCATTCGATTAGAGACCCAACGGAAGTTATATTCACAAAAGTCTTCCCACACATAAAGTTAAACGAAACACCAGAATAATTTAGAATTTTAGCTGGGTCGATAGATTAAAAAGGAAATTTAGTTTCCAAACATTTTATGCTTAAATAATAATCACAATTTAAAATTATGTTATATGTTTCTAGTACTATTTTGTTTTAAGATAATACGTTAATACGATAAGTTAAAAAACGTAAAAAGCCTGTATATTACTAGTGGATTATACGACTTTTATTATTCATTTCTCATTTATTTGTTTATTAAAAATATTAAAATTAGAGTTATTTTATGATAAACGTTTTATTATTCATTTCTCATTTATTTGTTTATTAAAAATATTAAAATTAGAGTTATTTTATGATAAACGTTTCAATGTGAATTTACAAAACAGAGCAAATATCTTAACATATCACCAATACAGGCATACATTTAGTGCCAAAAGTTGATTACATTCTAATCAAATATACATCTTGCTAAAGCCAATGATCCAAAGATACTTTACTGTCCCTTCATAATGCACTAACCAATCCCCATTTTCCGCAGGAACATTTCCGTGCAGCTTCATTGCCCTCACGTCCAGACCAAGGGAACCCGACCATATGGAAGCGAGGCCAGAACCCGAACCCTTGGCGGGATTCAACGCAGGACTCTGGCCATTTCCTGCCGCTTTTTGGCCGGCCACGTTATTAGCGTCTAGCACATGGCTCCGCACCGTCCTGTATTTTTGGGGGCGTCAGTCCAGGGGGCGTGGTCGATGGCACACGTTTGGAAAATAAACTAAAGCTGCTGCGCCTGCCAGCCCAATGGACTTCTGTTGACCCGTCTGCCTGCACAGAGGACTCATAAAAATATGCTTGAAATAGGTTTGGTCGGAAAAAAAGGACGAAGGAAAACGGTGGAAATCGCTGGTAAAAGAAAGAACGCTTAGCAATATTTAATGTCGCCAACGATGTCAACGGTATGAAATCAGGGGAGCTGAGGGGACCAGGATTGAACATGGCGACGCTGTTCGCTTTTGATTGTTTTGCAAACAAAGCGAAACAGTCTCTAGGAATCAACCATCCACTCACCATACTCAAAAAAATTGGTTCAATATTTTGACACCTTTATGTGTAAACGCAATTAATACCAGAAAAAACTCTAAAAAAAGTTTTTAAACTTAAAACATTTTAAAGGATCGAGAACCAAAATTTTATATTTCAAAAATTTTGTTTTAAATTGTTTTCTCATTACAGGGAAACGTTTATGCGTCTCAAAAAAAATGTTTTTAATTAATATCATGGATGATCTCTACCCATCGTGAATAAATATACAAAATCACTAATTTCTTAAGTAAAATATTGAGTATTTCTGAATTCATA